GAAATACAATTTAATAAAATTGAGAAATAAATGCCATATACATTGTGAAACATGATTTGATGGAAAATTCCATAATATTGGTTACGTATAACCTGCTGTGAATTTCAAAATTTTTCATGTACAAATAAAATAATTACAAGCTACATGCCACTTGAGTCACCCGGTATGCAATGCAATGTAAAAAGAATGAGTTTGAACTTCGGTTTGAACCAATCGAACACAGGAAAAACATTAATAACGGTGGTTTTCATATTGTTCCGCGCAATATGTTCAGCGTGGAAAATCAATCACTGCATGATATATTGGAAAAACAATAAGCAAGAGTGGAATTTTTCATTCATTAGTTGGATCAACGAAGGCCAAAAAAGATAGAATAGGGGAAATACATCGTGTAGTAGCAGGTTCGAATTTCAGTTTTTGAAATTGTTCTTGAATAATTGCGAAAGAGTTCTATAAGTACATAACAACATGAAATAAATAATGAAACAACATGAAATAGAAGGGCCTATTCATTTTCCGTCTAAGATAAAAAGTTTCTGAGAAACAGGGAATGAAAAAATCTAGGGTAGCTAGTGACAACCAAAGACCCAGTTGAACCTGACGCGATTCTTAGAGCATCTTTTGTCGAAGTACTACTGGATGTGGGAGCCGAAAAGCTAGAACTCCTTATGATTATATAAATATATACACATTCAAGATGTTTGTTTCCAATGAGTAATTCGTTTTTTCTACAACCGACACAAATGTCGTCCATTTCGTTACCAAAATTAGCTCTTGTATTGACGTTTCTATTACTGACATAAAATGGGTATGTTGCTAGGCAACACATTTAGTTCCTAGGAGCTAAAGATGAACCTTAGCTCCTAGGAACTGGAAAGGATGTACTAGAGGTCATCAAGAATAAACAACATTGTTACGGTTGGTTATTTGGGTTGGGACGCATACCTGATTTGTTACCGATTTCGGCAGATATGGCATTTCATACACATGCTGGAGATATAAATACACCTTATTATAGTTAAGTATTTTTGTTTTCATAAGGGAAGCCTTTTTTAGATTCACATACTTGCTTGATCTGTAGTTCATTCGTTATTCTCGGGATGGATGATTTGTTTTTGAATAATCATGGCCAGTATTATTTTTTTCTTGTAACAACGATATTGTTTACCTCCATTTGAATATCCAGCCGAACACATGTGGAGTATGGAGAGAAATAAATAATCGCTATTATTACTGTTGATATGCTCACTATAACCTGACATTTTCCTCGTCTTGTTTCTATACCTGATGGCGCTGGTGCGGTATTTGCCATTAGAGCACCTGGTGGGAAGAGATTCATTCCTGTCGTGAGATTAGTTAGCTATCTCGAGACAGGAATGAAACTTCCTACCGAGGTTTGTATACTATTTTATTTACAATCATCATATTTCGATGAAAATTAATAAACCTCTGTTTCGTTCTGAACATACCTAAAATATTATATATATAAGAGAGGGCGGGGAGTGAGGGCAAGAAGTAGAGGTGTGTAATGTGACACTTCCCAACCTTCACCGACGTTAGTAATTACAACATTACATATATGGTTGTTAATAAAAAAATATTCATGCACTAAATCACGAATATTTTCAGTTTTCATTTATACAATTTTTTCGTTCTGAAGTATTCGGTAATTTCTAGGCTATGCAATTTCTGAAGGATCCAGAATAACGTAATTCTTACTTTTCCCTCACAGTGCTAATCCAAATAACGTTGAGTACAATCATGATCGTTAGTTGAATCATTGAATAGGTAGGTATTGCACAATACCCTTCTTTCTATTATGCAATATTCCGATTCCAAAAACTGATTGTAATCAACAGTCTAACAAGGAAAAATCGTAATGAGATTTTCTTCTCTCTTTTTCGTTTACTTAGTTTACAAAAGCGGTTATCGCCGATTCCTCAGTTCCTGGAGTTCCAAGAGACAATGAATATAATGTGATCTATAGGTGCAAAATTATTTGGGAAGTTGATTGAACTTTTTATTTACATTTCTTTATTATGTCTCGTTTTATTGGGTCGAATCCTGGAAATATCTCGGGAGCTGTTCAGCAGATTAAATAAACTAACAGGTGTTGTTCCATGATATACGTATGTTCAATTTGAATTTGAAAAATCCTTCTATCCACATTCTCCATTTCGAGCAGGGAACTCACATCAACTTTTCTATTTCAAATAGGACACCCTATATATTGCTTCATATATGTTTGGTAAGGGATTCTCAATATGGATTTTTACTGGGTATGATAGAGGTATGTCAAACTACTATGAATATACAATTTCCAACGCTTTGAGTAAACCACTCAGAATTTGACTCTATTTGGACAACCTGTATTTTCTGATGTTGCATGTTCCCTCTAAAAAGATGGAACAACTGAATATTCTAGTCAATGAAATGAGAAAAACATTGGAAATTGAAAGTCAACAACTAATTTCCGATTGCCATTTGCATTTATGTTCAATATTTTCTTCCATACCTCTCGATACAGGTTTGAGTTATTTTCATTATTTTCAAAACTATTTCGAGTTCTTACTCTAAAAATTAGTTTTATTCACGTTGTTCCATTCTCAGAAATCTCTCTTGATGACAACATTTTTGGCGGAAATATTCGAGATTTGATTCTAAGGATTTTGGCAGTTGTTCCGGAATCTTTTTGTTGATTTATGATCAACATGTTGATGACGAGTGAAACTCGGAATCACTATTGAACGACTTTACATATTCAACATCAACTTTGATTGATTCACTTTGTTGCAATGTCAGACATGAATGCGAGATACCAGGAGTTTCTCTCTTAGGATTTTTCACAAATTCACCAACAATGTAGACGAATCTTGATAATGTTTTGTCAAATGAGTGATCTCTCATCAATACCAGTTATTCAGTGTGTCCCATTTGCAGTAGGATTATGCACTCTCGTATTTTCTTATTCGTTGACCGATTTCGCTTTCATTCAACATGCAGTAAAGTGCAAAGTCAATTGGAACAACACATCGTAGGCCGTATGTAATTTTGAGATGGGTATAAGAGATATAGACGAAAAGGGCAGTGTAAACTCAAAATTGCATTTGATAGAACTTCAGCACGCACTGCCAAATCAAATTCAACTTATGTGATGAACTTTTAATCAACTATAGTTGAGAATTGATGAATGGAGATCGTATTGATCAGGTACTTCAGGTGCTACTCAAAGTTTATACTAGCTGTATTTTCTTTTTCCTCTAGATAACGACTCAAGATTCCATTAGTCAATTAGTGGAATTATACAAACAATGAATAATTGGAAGTTGACAACCAATTTGCCATTGCCATTACCATTCATATATTCATCACGGTAATCTTCATGCATCTTTCTCAGGAGGCAAACTCAAGTTGCATCCCTTCCTCAACTGAGGGAATTTGCCCTAATGGGTATACAGGACATTGTTTTCGGCGTTTTAGTATGTTCCATTTAGCAAATAGAGACGGTGCTTTGGTCACTATAAAGGTCCATGGAAAATTGGTTTGTTCTTCTGTACAACTTGTCCGCACCCTGAAATTCTTTCTTAACTTCAATTAAAAACAAAGTAGATGTTTCATGGAGATAATTTTGAGCACTTATTTCAAAAAGTACCTCTTATCATTGAATTAGTGCAAAACACTCAACAAAATTATGAATTCTGGGAAGTAATCTCCCTTATTTTCTTGAAACCTCCAACTTTTCATTACTACTTGATGATGATGATTAGATGGTACTCAATTTTGGTTTTAAAACTATGCATATTCAATGTTTCCGCCATTTTCAAAACTGCACTGACACAGAAAAAAAAGATTTGTTGCATCAACAAATTATTTATGTTTTAATTATTTTTGTTGGGTTGAGCAATATTTTGTTGAATCAACCAGACACATAATTATTATATTCCATGGAAGCAGCTTGTTCAAATCAAGAATGTGGTCTAATTGAATCAACAGTATAATATCAATTCCATCAACAAAATATATGGATTCCTCAAAAACAAATTATGTCGATCCAAAATAATGTCGATGTTGATTTAACTATAAACATGTTTCGATGTAGCAATGAACTCGTTTCGAACGGATCTTTTGCGCTTGAATAGAGCAACGAAATATGTCATTTCGATTAAATATTTTGTTCATTCTACATCAAGTTAAATTTACGCCTCCAGATGGCGATCATATCGCCTGGTCTATGCCTGCCCTGAATTCATTATATACGTGAAGCCTGATTCTTCGTGTTCGACATATCAGCTGGATAAATCGAACTAGGATGATTAGCATGATAGCAATCCGAAATAGTTTTGCATCAGCTGAAGAGAAGTGAAGATTGCAGATCTATGCTAGAAGTCGACTAGTTTTATTTTTATTGATGTGAAATTTCCGAAAGCTCCCGACTTGATACTGAATTTGGTTCAACAAAACAATTTGTCGTATGGAAATACAGTTTCTCTTGAATCAACGGAATATTTCATTGAATTAACAGAATATTTCATTGAATTAACCAAATATTTCATTGAATTAACCGAATAATTCATTGAATAAACCAAATATTTCTTTGAAACGACCACATATTTCATTGAATTAACTAAATATTTGATTGGATCAATATCTTGTTATTTTGATAGAAACAAAAGGATTGTTTGAGCCAATTCAATATCTGTTCATGAACAATTCATGGATGTGCTTGATTGAATAAGATCCAGCGTTCATGCAAGACATATTTACTTGATTCAAACTTCAGATTCGCTCTGAAACAAGATATAGATATACTCATTTCAAGATTATATTTTGTCGTGCATATATACGACGTATACGACACTATTATTTGCATCATTGAAATAAATTTTGCTTGATTCAACAATTCCTTTTTTCCGTGACGACATCTCAGGGATGTTTGTGTATACTGGGAAGGTTACAAAACATTTCCCTATTTACCATAATTACCATCTAATCGTTTGCAGGATGCGTTCAGACTGCACACGCCCGGAGGCGGCGGATACGGCGTCGAGGCCGCGACAGAGACCGACGAAGAGGCGGCTGGAAGGGCCCCCCGTGGCCCCACGGCCTCTGGGGTGTTCCTCGAACGTGGCAGCGTTTTCGAGTACAGGCAGGCGCAAGAGAGCGTGTGAATTGCTTTCTGGATAAACGTACATACATGCCATGGGTGAACAAGCCGAATGGAATGAATTCAGTATTTCAATTATTGGGTTTATACAGAGTGTAACATATATATACATTAAAATATTCAAATTACATATTCTTGAGACCATTTTGATTTGATTTCAATTCGAGGTTGTGTTATCTCCCGACGCGTAGCGGAGGGATACAAAAAACCGTGAGCTAAAATCTGACTGAACTACACACACTGGCATAATTAGGGGAACGGGCAAAATCATTTTTTTCTCGAACCCATCGCTCGATTTTTTTTTACGAATTGTAGCTTCATTCTTCACGAAAACATCTGAAAAATAACCACCTTCAAACGATTCGTCTTTATATCATATACAGGGATGTAAAGAAAGTACGGATTTTTCGGTATTTCTTAAGACATCCTGTGGAGTGAACCATTGATAATTGAAACGGTTCTACTATACCGCGAAACCCCGCAGCGCGGGGGGCCCAGACGTCAAGGGGGCCCAACGGGCCCACGCAGCACGCGGAATTGGTAATCATATGTTTGAATTTGTTATTCCCTTGACCTGCTCGATAACGCGAATAAGTTTTCAGAATATATTCCCCAGTCTTACGACTCTTACTTTACTGTGGTGATGTGCTGCAAATATTCCACCTTCTACGCTTCTACCCTCTGTGTGCACTATGTGTTCTAAAATTATGGAAAATGCTAACATAGCATCGAAATTGCTGCAATTGGATGATTTAGATTTATCCAGGGCTTGCAAATCTCTAGAGTCAACTTATACAAAAATAAAAAAAAATACTGAAGACGGAAGCTACTAATGTCGCCGCAAAATGGAGTATTCAACCAAAGTTTCAGGAGAAAAGAAACATTACATCGAAAAACATATTTGGAGAACCCAACACACAATATTTATCTTCTGAAAGAGAACATTTCTTCAGAGTAAACATTTACTATAAGACTCTTGACATCGTTCTCTGTCAAATCAACAATAGATTTGAAGCCATGAATACCACTGTCAGCAAATTCAACTTTCTCAATCCAAAACTGCTAGTTGAAATGTCGGAAGAAGATTTGTTCAAATCATCTGAATACCTACAATAGTTATACCCCAGTCACTTATCTCCCACTTCTCCTCTCGATGTAATTTCGCTTTTACCACTGAAAGAAGAAATATTAAAGTTGAATGATATGAGAGAGTTTGCAGAGTTCCTGATAATTATGAATTCTACGCTATCTTCCAACCTTTCTGAAGTTATTTTACATCTCTATTACTGTTTCTGACCTTACCTGTAACTGTGGCCTCTGCTGAGAGGTCATTTTCCAAATTAAAAATCATCAAAAATTATATGCGGAATGAAATGGCACAAGAGAGACTAAGTGAACTTGCAATACTATCAATAGAAGCAGATGAAGCAGCTGCAATGGAGAAATCCGTTTTTATTAACGAATTTGCAGATAGGAAGGCAAGAAGAAGAGACTCCAACTGATTTCTATTATATACATATTTTTTCATACTATTTATTTCTTGATCATATTTTATGTAGCTTCTTTTCTCCTGATCTCAGTTTGTTCCTTTGTTTTTTTTTTCATATATTTTTTATTATTTCAAAGAATTATACGTTCGTTTTGAGATTTCAATGTAATTTCTCCAAGTTTTCTAAGAAGTTGTTATTTATTCACAGTGATTGTAGAGTCGTAAGTGATTATTCGCAATTATTCAAGAAAATACAGAGTTTCAGAGAAAAGGTATTGGTATCAATTTTACCACCTCGAAACTCGAACTGGGGATAAAAACGTGTCGTTTTTCATTTTGTTTCTGTGAGGAATTTTACTTCAAGATGAAAATTGTTCACAGTTTTACATATCGGTTTACTGCTCAAAGACACATATAAGAATACTCTTATGAATATGCAAGGGTGATAAAAGTTGCTTCAATGTTTTTTTGGTGGAATAATGCTATTCTGATGTTAATCAACGTTGGCTATTTTGTTTATGTCATTCATAATTGTCGAATTCTCGCGATTCACAATTCAAAATTCATAAATTTGATTAATGAAAATTCAACATGGGAGATTTGACTCCTACTGATGTGGCGAGGGCTGTCAATAATTGAAAATGGTAGATCGTATAACTGATGTTGCTGTCATGCTGGAAAAATCAAAATGTACGATTCATCGGAATGTGAGACTTATTTTATTTTTATTTTAATTTAATAAACGGATTCACCATTACAATAGTTAATTATTACAGATTGACAAGATGGCATAAGAACAATAATATAGCATTGATATTGATTGAAATTTCAAATTTGAACTATATGGTTTGGTTTGAAGGATACAAAACAAAATTCCTGTATTAACCAACCTTAAGAAATTAACACTAATGTATAGATTAATTGTGGATCGAGCCAGGATCAACTATACAAATTTTATTTTTAAAATCAGTTAAGGAATGGACAAATGGATCAATGTTTAATATGTTGAAATTACGCAAAATACGTGATAATGGGCTGAAGAACCCATAATTAGTTCTATGAGTTTTTATAGTAAAAAGATCAGTGTTTCTAGTGAAATATGATGGAACATTGAAGTTTATCATATTGAGAAGATCGCAACAATCAATCACACCCGAGATAATCTTGAACATGGTGATACTATCGAGCCGAAAGCGTCTGATAGATAGGTTGGTTAAGTTGAGGGCATTGAGAGTATCTGTATAATTGAAATTGTTGTAAGTTCCCATTTTATAAGAAATGTGCTTGGCAAATCTCATTTGGACTTGTTCAATTAGTGTGATATCACAGTTATAATGTGGCGACCAGATTATGCAACCATAGTCTAATAAGGAACGTACAAGAGAGCAGTATAAAGTATTAACTGTGTTACAAGAAAAATGTTTTGTATTACGCATTAGAAAACCTACCATTTTATTAGCAGATGCTGATACTTTCAGTAGTTGACTCTTGAAGGTGAGACGCTCATCAAAGATGATTCCAAGATCTTTAATTTCAGTTACTTTTTCAAGGATCGTATTGTTAATATTGTAGTTATATGAGGAAGCATTAAATGAGCGGGAGAACGATATTGTAAAACATTTATCAGTATTTAAAGCAAGACTGTTTTGAACGCACCATAAATGAAGGTTATCAAGGTCGTTTTGAAGAGTTTGACTGTCTAGGATATCATCAACAACGAGAAACAACTTCAAGTCATCAGCAAATAATAAAAAGTTTGCACTTTTGATTACATCAGAGATATCATTTATGAATAAATTGAAGAGTAAAGGTCCACAGTGAGAGCCCTGAGGGACACCCGAAGTAACCATAATTTCGTTAGATATATAATTGTTGATTTTAACTCTTTGAGAGCGGCCAGTGAGGAAGCTGCGCAGCCATTTCACAATATTATCCGCAAAGCCAAGGGAGTGAAGTTTCTCTAAAAGTATCTTGTGGTCCACTCTATCAAATGCCTTGGAGAAGTCTGTGTAAATTGCGTCAACTTGCTCACCCCTCTCCAAGGCATGTAACAGAAATGTCTGATAAGACAGCAAGTTGGTTACCGTTGATCTTCCTGAACAAAAACCATGTTGCTGAGGTATTATAATATTCTTGCAGGACCATGTTAATTTGGCAGTGACGAGTTTATCTAATAGTTTTGGCAAAGTAGACTGTATACAAATACCTCGGTAATTTTTGATGGATTCACGATCCCCTGACTTAAAAATTGGGGTGACAAAACTGTTTTTCCAGAAATCTGGAAAATTACAAGAATCCAGAGATAAGTTAAATAAATATAGAATGGGATTAGCTAATGTACAATTACATATTTTTAATAGTACTGGAGGGATACCATCAGGGCCACTGGAATACTTATTCTTCAAACTCTGAATACCCTCAAAAACCTCAATTAAGCTTAAATGGAGAGTATTGATGTCAACTAGATTTTTGTTTTGAAATGTAGGCACATTACTATCCTTATCAGAATAGACAGTTGAGAAATATTCAGCAAAAAGATTTATGATATCAGAGCCATTTGTACAAGTAGTATTGTTGAGATGCATAGTGTTTGGGTAAGAGCTAGATTTACGTAAATTATTCATATACTTCCAAAAACTGTTAGAGTCATTTTGAATATTCCTTTCTGTATAACTCAGATAACTGAGGTAACATTGTTCATTTAATGTTTTACATTGTGCACGAAGTGTACAGAATTCTTGATAATAATCAAATGAGTTTCTATCTTTATATTTCTTATGAGCAATCTTTTTCTTGAATATAAGATTTTTTAGTTCAGGTGTAAACCACACTGGGAAGTTTGATGATTTGAATGTTTTTATAGGTACATATAAGTCGATTGCATTGTAAATTATGTCATAAAATATGTGAACTGCTGTATTAATGTCCCTAGTATTATATAGGGCACTCCAATCTGCCATTGCTAAATAATCGTTTATACCAATTGCATTACAAGTCTTAAAATCATGATAGAAATTATCATATTTTAGGTAAGTGTCCTCGATAACAAGTGTCAGCATGAAGCAGTATGCATTATGGTGGTAACTCAGATTAGTTAGAACATCATCTGCTTTGGCTATTGCAAGAGTGGGTATATGTGAAAAAATGAGATCAAGGAATACATAATTATTGTTAGGGATACTATTAACCTGTGTTAAACCTAAGGCACTATAAGAGTCAGCAAGATATTTTCCAGGGGATGAATCTGGGCAAATTAGTTCAAGTCCACTGTCACCTCTTAACCAAGTTGCATCAGGAATGTTATAGTCTCCAAATATAACCAATTCAAAATCAGGATGTGAGGTACATACTTCAAAGACACTTTCCATATGATTTTCATAAATATCCAGGCTGGATCTAGGAGGAATATACACACTTCCAATGATGTATTTGTTGGACCCATGTTTCAAGCTGACAAATAGTTGTTCCACACCATGATTCTCAATATTGATCATACTAGTCACATAACATTTGCG